CCCCCCTCCCCCGGTGCTCGGCCCCTTGCCTCCGCCTCCCCATCCGTCTTTTGTACACTCTTACACATGCTTCCCTCCCCCCCTCCCACATATTGAGCCTGCCCCCCTCCTCCGCTCGCCGTTGGAGGTGTGCGGGCTCCTTCTCAAGTCCAATATATACACAGTAAATGTCCAATCTGCTGCCTTCCCCCCCTGAGCGAGTCGGGGAGAGGGGGGCCTGTGCGCGCGCGCGTCCTGGCAAGTGGACCCAGTCGGCGACAATCATGCGCCGCATCTGGTAGCCTGGGCGGGGGGGGCGCGTGTGATCGGCGAAAGGGCGTGTGCGATCCGGCGCGCATCCAAGAGGAGGCGAGGACAGGGGGACATGGGGTGGCAGTCTAGGCGCCTGAGCGTGAATCTGTCTCGGAGCATTGTCCGATATCCCGGCCCCCCCCCCCCCCCGCCACTGGGTGTATTTGTTGCGGCATGCGTCCAGGCACGAGCATGCGAGGGGCAAGTGCATGCCTGCGCAAATGGGACTGCGGCCGCGCCGAAGGCGGATGTGTGTGCATTTGCAGGCGAGCCGGACACACGGCCGAGCCTCGCGCGAATCCCCGACCCGAGGAGAGGGTGTGCTTCGGGGGGCGCGGGGCAGGGCTCCAGGGAAACCCCGGGCCGAGGCCGAGAAACTGGCCGCCGGCCACATGTCCAGGAAGAATCACATGCTTCACATTGTCATTCGATGCGAAATACTATTCCCACATAGAGAACTTGCCCGCTAGGGTGGTGGACCACGATACGCACTTCATCTCGACCCTGCCCTCGCCGGCCAGCCAACAAGCCATATGTTGCGTGGGGCCCGGGAGCGGGGCAGTAATGGGCCGGCCTGCAGTATGTGTCTTCTCGGAGGCAGGAGGTTTTTTTTCCCCATCGAGGAGGCATGCATACCGAGGTCTGCCTGTCCGGTGGCTCTCTCGTGTTGGGGGCGCAGGCGGGCGCTTGCCGATCACATCGTGCCGGGGACTGTTCTTTGCCCGCTTCCAGGAGAGAGCGAGAGAGAGTGCAGGTCTCTGGTGTGGCCCGCTAGTGGCATGGAGGGCGGAGATGGTGGTGCTGGGGGCGGGCGTGCAAGCACTCTGCCCGTCCTCTGGGCGCAGATGACGGCAGGGGGCGCCAAGGCCGCACGCCCGCGAGGGCAGATTGTCTCGATCATTCGGTGGTCGAGCGGCACGGGAGGGAAACGTGGGCCACCGAGGCGGCGCCGGGGG